ACAGTGGAGACAAATGTGGTGTCACTGTTTGAGAAGCTTTGGTTGGCAAAGCAGCTTTGACTTGTAGATAATTTATTGAATGATTATTATCATACTAATGTTCTATTTTTTTGTTTGGAAAACATTCTTAGAAAATTAAGATATTAGCATCTTGAAAATGGCTACTGGATATGTCCAATAACTTTATTTCACAAGATACTTTTTAAATGAAGAAATTTAGTAGGCACATTGTATATTGTGAATATGTATTTAGCTGATAGACTATAACAGTTCAAATAGGATCATTTATAGCTTATTGAGTAAATAAAAGTGCTTCCATAAAGATTCACATGACACCTAGCTTTTATTTCAGGTATCTAATTTCTTTTGGAAAAATTGCCTAAATTTAGATTTACATAAGATTACTACTAGAACATGATGGCAATTTAAAAAGCTGTTTAAATGACCACAGACTTTACAGATTTAAAACGTAAGATCAGGTAGTGAATATTAGCTTCGAATGGTCTCTGACACAAAGTTATTTAACTGTCTTTACTCTCTGTGTCACATTAGAGAAACATTATGATATATTTCTGAATATAATTTGTAATAAGAAAAATAGCTAATATGTACTTGTTACTTTAATATCACATCCTCAAATCAGAATTTCACCAGAATTCTTGCTGGCTTCTTTTAAGCTAAGTGACTTATTTTGTCCTATTTCATGAAATATTTTTTAGCAGCATAGCAGATGATCCAAGCATCAAAAAGAATTATTTGTTTTTATTTACACATAATAAGCCTGTTTATTTGCTGGAGGTTATACCTTTTGGGGATAAAAGTCAGTAGTCTTTTTCTCTCCCTGCCACTCTCTCTTCTTCCCTTTCTCCCTCCCTCCCCAGTCCATCCACTATTCTCCTTCCCCCATCCATCCAACCCTTTCAAAGTTTTTAGGTTATTTTCTGTGTTTAGGAAATAAGATTAGAAGCAAATATGTAAAAACTGAAACTTATTTGAATTACTGGAGAAATGCTCAACATCCCATTTCAAGATTATTCAGTTTAAAATTGTTATGTGAGATGAAAGAGTGCTTTCTTTTACAATGTAGAAAATAGGCGTATTAAAGTGTAGAATGAAAAAAGGCAGACAAGGAGTCCTTTTGTAGAATGTCAAGACCTGTAAAATATTCAAGAGAATTGAGCAGTTAGAAGAGACCTTCCCTGAAGGACTGCCTTCCCATGTTTATACTGTGTTAGGTTGATGGATTCAGAACAAAAAAGGAAACTTCAAGTACAACATATCCTTTGAAGAAGTTCTACTGTCTCTAATATTGGTCAAACAGGAGAGTTGGTCAGTTAGGTATATGTACCTTTCTCTAGTCTAAAACATCAAAAAGAAAATAGCCTCTGTTTCTGTATACTCTCTCCTCTCACATGGTTTCTTGGACCAAAATTTAAAGTATAAAGATGTAAAAAAATATCCAACAGACTGAAAATGCAACCAACATATCATCTAGTAGCCCTCATTCTAGGTATTTGCCCAAAAGATTTGAAATCAGCAAATTGAGTGATGACCATGCTCATTGCAGTACTATAGCACTATTGTCCACAATAGCCAAGTTATGGAGTCCACCTAAGTGTCCCTCAGATGATGAATGGACAAAGAAATGATGGACTATATACATAGTGGAATGATGCTATTCAGCCTTCAAAAGGAAGAGTTTCTGTCCTTTGTTTCACTGTTGATGGACAATACCATGTGAAATCAACCTAACACAAATGTGTTCTCACTTACATATAGATCCTAAAACAATTGAGCTTATATAAACACGGCAGAATGATGGTAACTAGAGGCTTGGATAGAGGAATCTGAAGAGATGATAAAGGGTACAAAGCCTACTTGGATTAGAGGAATGTTGGTTTTTATTTTCAGATTTTATGGCACAGTGTGGTAAATATAGCTAATAATTGAGTGCTGTACATTTTACTCTGGCTAGTAGAACGAATCTCAAATGATCTCATCACAAAAATGTCAAATACTTTAGGTGAAGGATAGATTATTTAGTTTGATATTATCATTATTATCATTACATGTTGTATTAAAAATTACATTGTAACTTTTTTTTAAATTTATTTATTTATTTTTTATTTGTGAACATACTGTACAGAGGGGTTACAATTACATGGGAAGGATAATGCGTACATTTCTTACCAAGCATTGCAGCCTCCTCCTTTGGTTTACCCTTCACATCCCTTGTAACTTTTTTTTTTTTTTTGTCAGTCATGGGGGCCTGAACTCTGGGCCTGGGCAGTGTCCCTTAGCTCTTCAGCTCAAGGCTAGCACTCTACCACTTGAGTTACAGTGCCACTTCCGGCTTTTTCTGCTTATGTGCTGCTGGGGAATCAAACCGAGGCCCTCATGCACACAAGGCAAGCACTACCACTGAGCCAACTTCCCAGCCCCACAATGTAACTTTTTAAACCCTTAAATACATAGAAGTATAATTTGTCAATACACAAAAAGTTGTAAAAACCCCAACACCTTACCTGATGATATTCTTTTGTTATAATAAAGAATACTATTGCTTCAGCTAAGTTTTGCAAAGAGGAAAGTCAAGCCTCAAATTCTGTGTCTGTCCAGCTCTAGTGGAATGTAAAGTTAGGCCATGGCATTTGCAGCAGCAAAATCAAATCCAGTGCTGCTGCTGCTGATTCTAGCACACAGCTGGAAAAAAATGAGAAAATGTGGCTCTAGTCGCAGTATAAGTGCAGCAGGCACACTGCCAGCTGTGGTGTAAGGTGGCCCTCTGTTCATGATCTGAGCTGACATGCTTGCACCCAGGATTAAGGTTCTTTAAAACTCCTCAGAGCTGCTAATAATTTTGCTATTTTTTTTTCATTCCTTGGGAATAGATAAATCTTCTCCATTATCCAAGTGGCCATTTTAGTTTTTTTTTTTTAACTTCTAGCATGAAAAGATGATTTCCGTCAGCTATCTGCTTTGCAGTGGAGCATCAAGAAATCAAAAGAACAGAGATCAAAGAAAATTGCTGAACTAGGTGTTAGGTGTAGACATTGATTTTTCTCTTGTTGTAGTTTTAAAAAAAATCTACAAAAATGGTAACATATACAACAGCTGAATTTCTAATAATTTCCTAGTGCCAGCAATAGTTTCCTTCTTGTTTTCTCATGTAGGAGCAGTTTTGTATAACATAACATAATAAAGTAGACCCTTAAACCTTATGTTATTTCGTTATCAAAACTGTAAGAAGATCCACCAAAAAAGGTGTTCTGAAAAATTTTATAATGTAAGGAAAAGGTTTTAGTGGAGATATTTGAAACTACAATTGTTAGCTCAGTTAACACTTACTTGATAAGATTTGGCAAGTGCTGACATAAGATTGATCACCATTTTTGTACTTTAAATATCCTAAAATAATACTTGCCATTAGACTTCATGAACATTCAGTATTTACTAGTTACTAACGTTACTTACAGATTACATGTATGGCTTTACCCAATATGTTAGCTTTGTTAAATACTGAATGGTTATATAGCCAATCTTATGTTTGATTCTGGATACCAGCAATGTTGAAAAATATGAACAGTTGTTTCCTTGTTCCGGTTCTTATTTTGATGTATGATTTATACATACTTACAATGGAACAGTCTATTAAAACTGAGTGGTGGCATGATTGTCAAACATAAAGGCAAAATATTTTTACTAGATTTTTATACTTACGTTATTTTTTAGAAGTCACAATGGTTTTCTTACCTTTATTTGTGCTATATTTGTCAATTAAATAAGCCAGGCTGACAAAAGTAAAATAAATACCCATTTTTTTACTTTTTTTTTTTGTCAGTCGTGGGGCTTGAACTCTGGGCTTGGGTGCTATCCCTCAGCTCTTCAACTCAAGGTGAGTGCTCTACTGCTTGAGCCACAGCGCCACTTCTGGTTTTCTAGTGGTTTATTGGAGATACAAGTCTCATGGACTTTCCTGCCCAGGCTGGCTTTGAACCATGATCCTCAGATCTTAGCCTCCTGAGTAGCTAGGATTACAGGCGAGAGCCACTGGTGCCTGGCTAGTTTACTTTTTAACAGTCTAATATAACAGGTTATGCAGTGTATATAATACGCATATTAAAATAATATTAGTAGCATTAATTTATGTAAATTGCTGATGAATTGAAGCAGAGGTAAAATGCCTGGTTGTACTGACTTTTTGAAAATAAAGCTTTATAAAAATGAGTGTGTGTTGGGGCTGGGAAGGTGGCTCAGTGGTAGAGCGCTTGCCTTGCATGCCTGAGGCCCTGGGTTTGATTCCTCAGCACCACATAAGCAAAAAGAAAAGAGCCGGAAGTGGCGCTGTGGCTCAAGTGGTAGAGCGCTAGCCTCGAGCTGAAGAGCTGAGGGACAGCGCCCAGGCCCAGAGTTCAGGCCCCACGACCGGACCCCCCTCCCCCAAAATGGGTGTGTGTATGTTTGACAAGAAATGTACTTATTACCTTACTTATGCAACTATACCCTCTCTGTACATCACCTTGACAATAAAAAAAACTAAAAGAAAGTGTGTGTATGTGTGTCTAACCTGGGCTTGAACTCAGGGCCTGGACAACATCCGTTAGCTTTTCTTTTTTACTCAATGCTAGTGCTCTATCACTTGAACCACAGCTCTACTTCAGGCTGTCTCATGGCCTTTCCATCTTGAGGTAGCTTTGAGCTGTGATCCTCAGAGTCTAGCCTCTGAGTAGCTAGGATTACAGGCATAAGCTACCTACTTTCAGGTGTATACAAAATTTTAGTATTTTTCCTGTTGTTCTTTTGGGACGTATGATAGATTCACAGCCACATCTGAAAAATATTAAACATTTTTATATTTTTATTACTTTGATTATTTAAATGGGAATCTCCATCCCATTTTATGTTATGATGATCATGTGTTTACTTCCTTGTTTGTGATTTTAGTCTCTGTTAAGAATTTTTACTTAATATTTATTATGTTTCTCTTTTGTGTGTCACAGCCAGGATCAAGAGAACAGTCAAATCTCTCCATTCCTTCAAGAGCTACTCTTCCTGCTGACAGAATTGTTGTTGGGGATTTTTTGCCATTGCAAGCTGAACTTGATACAACTTACACTTTCTTTAAGGAAACATTTATAAATACTGCACCCCATTCTCTAACATCATCTCATTCCTCTCCAGTGATGTCTCCTAATGTCAAAAGGCCAAGTCAGAGTGGATTATGACTTTATGAAATAAAGCAATGGAGGAAGAGCTAACAGTACAATTAAAATTGTTTTAAAGGGGGATTTTCTTATTACTTGAATTTTGTTTCAGCACAAGGGGTGGGTTTTAAAAATCGTGCAGTAACTTGATGTGTGCAGGAATCTGTGTCTCCCTGAATAATGAAATAACCTAGTTCCTCTCTCTAAGTTTTATTTATTATCACAGTTGCTCATTTTTATGTAACATATTTTTAAATGTTAAAGAATGACACTTTTTGGGTAATTTCCTTCGGACTTAAAAAAATCAATAAGCCATTTTAGTCTCTATCTATCAAAGTTGTTTCATACTTGTCTATTTTAAAGCAGGACTGCAATACTTTAATAGGATTGAGAGAGCTATTTGAAATGTATGCCAATGATTCCTGTCATTTCATGGCAGCCCTGCCATGGTTCACTGAGCCCCTCTTCTCTCTTGTCAGCTCAACTGAAGACAAGCATTTAGTTGCAAACTTTAAGCAGGTTGTGCAAAACAGAAATGATGTGACTGCTTCTCCTCCTGCACAATAATGTCACTCCTGGTCAATGTGAGAAGGTCAGGTTGCTCCTTGTAAAGCTACATGATACCACTTGCCCATTTGAACAAGTTAAGTTAACTGCTGAATCTGGTCCCTGCAGGGATTGAAAACTCATCCTTTTAGCAAGTCTGCTTTTGATAAGAAAGTAGAGCAATTGTGCTGTGAGGATTTCCTTGGTATGTTTAGCCACTTTATAAGGACACTTCCCACACTAGTACAGCAGGTAATATATTTAGTATAAGCTGAAATCTTCAAGGTAATGGCTGTTTTGACCTTCAAAATAGGCTCCTTTTTTGTTTTTGTTGTTGGTAGGACCCGAGAGTGACGCCCATCTTTGATGCTGACAGAATTTAAAACAAGGCCATTGCCCTGCATTTTCTGCCTTGTAGCACACAAAAGTAAAATTGTATGTCAGGCCGAGATGTCGGGGAGCTGACAAGATGCCCCAGTGACATTTCAGCTAGAAAGAGCAAGTGTCTTGCAACCAAGTGGTCAAATATCAAATAATAGGTCAAGCAGGAAGGAGCTGAGTTCTAACCACAAAGAGGTTTCTGGTAACTTACTTGACAAGCTTTTGGGTGCTTTGTGGCTTGACAAAGTGATGTTCTGTTGGGTATCACTAGACAGACTGTTCTTTATCGCCTTCAGAAGATCAGACATTGACATTGATTAAACTCTTTAACCCTTAAAGGTTAAATCCTTGCCGTTTGTTTGCATCATGGTAAGTGAAGAACAAAAGAATATTTGTAATATGTATCTGTTTCTGTATTAATCATTTAACTCCCCACTGACATTAACTTCTAAAGTGACCTGTAGTTTTTGACAAGGAATTTTGATGCAAAAAATCTGTATTTTATATTATTTTTTCATTATGGAGATTTTCATTATGAATGCATTAGAGAATAATAGTATGCATTGTAAAATCTATGTTGTGTTTACTATGACATTTGATTCAAATATAACCAACTGCTGAGAGTTTTTATTGGCCTTGATAAATAAAATCTGCATACTATTTATGTTATTAGCCAGATCACCCAAGTGATATATGCTATCTGAGGTAATACAGCACTATTATTGTCATACTGTGTAACACAATACTATTTTTTATAATACTGAGCTAGTTTAATTAGCTTTGTGTAAAACTTGAGAAAGCTTTTTATGTGGAATAAAATTTTATTTCCCTTAATTCTTTCTTTGGAATTCTTTTTCATATGCCCTGTGTAATGCAATCTGGATGAAATTCAGAATTTATTGTAACACAGAATGTGCTATTGATTGTTTTTATATAGATCATAGAATAATTTATGCACAATTCCACATATTGTCTTCTGCCATTCTGCACAATGATAATATTCTCCATATGGAAGTTGATGAACAGTTCTTTAGTTGATGTGATATCATTAAACTTCCAAATGTTACTGTGTGTAATATACATGTCTGTGTTTGTGTGTACATGTTTCCATTTGTATGTTTCTGTTGATCTGTTTCCAAATTCTAGTGATTTAAGAAGAGCAAATGCTTTTACAGTCTTGGGCAGGCTTTGGTCTGCTTGCCTTAATTTTACAATTGGTTAGTAGGATAATTCCCAAAATAAATGTGTGTGTCTCCATGTATATGTGTATTGACCTTACAGACAAATTTTACACAGCAAATTCTGACTATAAATTCAAGAAGATTATTAAATCAAATCGAAGCATGTCACATTTATAAGCAACTAGATGCTAAAGGCCATAGAAACTGAAGGATGAGCCTCCTGAGCAATCATTAGCATTCACTACCAAATATAGTAATATTTATACCATATGCTTTTTTTTCCCAGAAGTCAAACTCAGCAGGAGGAGAAGATTTAATGACATGTCCTATGGAGATCTAAGAAACTCTAGACTGCCTCTGAGCACCTTAGTGACCAATTGCTGCATATTTGAGATCTATGTTGCAATGGCAGGGACAGTTGTGCTATCAACTTCTTTACTTCTTAAGAATGATGTATGGACTAGACATTTCTCGGGAGAATGACTTCAAATATTTTTGTAGGGTAAGGGACGTTTTACTTTATACCTCGGTATGTGGATTTTCTTACTAACCTGTGTTCTAGAAAAATACCTATATCACCCACCACTATCAAAGGGATTCATAACATTACTGTTCTGATACCCAAGCTTATTTTGAGCACTTGCCATCTTTTTAATATAAATGTTTTGGAATGATGCAACATAAATACAGAAAGGTTTAGGAAGTTGTAAGAAATACTAGTTCAAAGTAGGGTAAATAGCCTTTTAAATAACAGAATGACCACTTTATTTTTCCAAATGTCTCATTCTTATTAAATAGCAACTATTTTTTATGATATATGCTATTATTGAGTAGTTAATGAGATCATTACTATTTTTTTATGACTTAACTAAAATCTTTGACACATTTATTTTATATCTGAGAGTCCTAGCTGGGCACTGGTGGCTTATGCTTATAGTTCTAGCTAATCAGGAGGCTGAGATACAAGAATTAGAGAAACAGAAAAGTTAGAAAATTATAAGACTGATATTTTTGAGAAAAACAAAGGAGGGGGTAACAATGCTTGACAAGAAATGTACTCATCATCTTACTGATGTAACTGCAACCCTAGTACTTTACTTACCAGTTATATCTGAATTCATTTTATGTACCACATGAGCAGTGGTAAATTGATCTGATTTCACTGTGCATCTTTTATAGACAAGTTTCTAATGTAGAAGTTGGAAAAGAATATTTATTCTGCAACTACTGCAGACAGTATACTAGAACTCTAAGGTTCTCACAACAACCCTCTGGAATACATATTTATATCATAATTTAATACATGAATATATGAGTATCTAAAATATTAAGTGATTCACTCACTACCCAAGATAACAAGTAACATAATAATTTATAAGCTAAAACTCTTAACTCCTAAGCATTCTACTTTGTCAAACTGATTTTTGAGAAATAACACCTTTTAATTTTTTTCACTTAAAAATATTATCTTTTTTTGTTTTTTGTTGGTCGTGGGGCCTGAACTCTAGGCTTGGGCGTTGTCCCTCAGCTCTTCAGTTCAAGGCTAGTGCTCTACCACTTGAGCCACAGTGCCACTTCCATCCAGTTTTCCGAGTGGTTTATTGGAGATAATAGACTCACGGACTTTCCTGCCAGGACTGGTTTGAACTGTGATCCTCAGATCTGAGCCTCCTGAGTAGCTAGGATTATAGGCATGAGCCACTGGTGCCTGGCTTATTATCTTTAAGTAGTTGTACAAAGAAGTTGTTATTTAACAATTCAGTTTATAAATACAGTGTATCTTGATCAGTGTCACTCCTTTCAATAATCTTACCTTCCTTTTTTACTTCTTATAATTTTTAAATAGTTGTACCTAGGGGTTTTGATTTGCCATGTTAAATTGAGTTTAGTGCATCTTGATTGTTGCCATCCCTTCACCATTCTACTCCCATATTAGTTGCCTAGTTCCATTTTTACCTACAGATATTGAATATGATGACTACACTTAGCCAACATGCATCCCTCCATTCATCGGCTCTCCTCCCCTTAAGCTGACTCTCTTCCCTGATATGTTTCAGCTTCTTGGTTTTTATTTTGTTAAACAAAATTGTTCAGAGGAGTTGTACCATTGGAATTCATTTATGCATATCATACTTCAGTCATTTTCCTTGTCTATGTGTATATATACCTATGACCCTGTATGTGTTTTCATGTATGTTTATATTTTAGTTCTATCTTAATAAACACATAAAAAATTCCTTAAAGAGCCAGGTGCCAGTGGCTCATGCCTATATTCCTAGCTACTCAGGAGGCTCAGATCTGAGGATCATGGTTTCAAGCCAGCCCCAGCAGGAAAATCTATGAGACTCTTATCTCAAGTAAACTATTCAGAAAAAAAATGGAAGTGGTGCTGTGGCTCAAGTGGTAGAATGATAGCCTTGAATGAAAAAGGTCCGGGATAGTTCTCAGGCCATGAGTTCAATTCTAATGACTCCCCCCAAAAAAGTTCCTTAAAGAACCATCCAAAGATCCATGCATGCTAACCATGTATATTTAACCAATTAGTACCTAAAAAATAGTGAGGTGTGTACCTATCTTTGGAAGGAGCTTACAACCTCACTATGTTGCCCAATACCTATATAGTCTGGCCCTAAGACCATATAGATACTGTCAAAAATAGACCTTCTTAGAAGATACTGATTGCTAGCCAACCTGAAACATGTTAATCTCTTCAAATATAAAATAATGTCATATACTGAGTATATCTGATCAAAAAAGCATTTGCTATATGACTCCCAAGAAGAAGATTTGAAATATATTTTTTCTAGACTAGTGTGGTAGACTGAATAATAGCCCCCAACAGTAACCACATTCTAATTTTTGAAACCAATGAATGTTACCTTTTATTTTAAGACGGATAAATTATCCTGGATTGTCTGAGTGGGATTGAAATGCTATAAAAATGTCTTTTTAAGAGAGGAAGCAGAGATTCATTTGACTACAAAGAAGAGAAGATGATGTAATGGATGCCGAGACTGCATGGATATGCTTTGAAGACGGAGAGTGGGGCCAGGCCTAAGGAATTGAGACAGCTACTTTTCCTGAAAAAGACAACAAAAAGGAATGTCTTCACATAATCTCCAGAATCGTAAGAGAAGAAATTTGTATTGCTAAGCCACAAGTTTGTTACAGAAGCTAAATTTACAACCAGTACAATTTTAGTGTTTTTTAAAATACATTAATCATTTACTAGTAGCAAACAAGGACAGTTCCTTTTAATTATGTTGATAAGTTCTCTCCCTAACTTGAACTTCTATATTTGTTTTAGGTTTTCTATGCCTGACTTCTGAATATAATAGACTGTTTAACTTTGGATCATCACATAGGCACACTATATTGCCATTGTTTTTGACAATTCCTCAACTAACCCTGTGATTTGATATGCATACTAACTTTTATAAGTTTTTTTTTTGTGTGTGCATACTGGTCCTGAGTCTTAAACTCAGGGCTTGAGCTCTGTCCCTGAGCTTTTGTGCTTAAAGGCTTGTGCTCTAACCACTAGAGCTACAGCTTCACTTCTGGATTTTTGGTAGTTAATTGGAGATTAATTTTGTATTTAATTGGTGTTTCATAGGATTTATTGTCTGGGCTGGCTTTGAATCATGATCCTCAGATCTCAGCCTCTTGAGTAGCTAGGATTACAGCTATGAGCCACTGGCACCTGGGATAATTTTTATAATTTTTAAGAGGTATCATGTTTCCCATATGTCTTCAGTTGTCTTAAATATATACTATAAATGGAATGTTTTTATTCTACTTTATTGACATATTTTCATATCTTTCAGAAGAATTTCAATCTTGGAGGATTTTTGCATTAATCATTGCTTTAAATATCATATGTGTGCTTGAGAATTCTCCCTTCCTATTATCAGTTTTCTAAGTTCCTAGTCATTTATCTATCAATTTTATTATAACTGAAATTAAAGAATTTTAATAATTTCCTATACCTGGAACTCAAAAAATTAAATCCCCCAACAACAAAGAAACAACTGCCCAATAAATAAGTAGGCTAAAGACTTAAAGAGAAACTTCTCTGTAGAGGAAAGAAGTATGGCCAATAGACACATGAAGAAATGCTCAACCTCTCTAGCTATAAAAGAAATGCAAATCAAAACAACATTGAGATACCACCTCACCCCAGTTAGAATGGCTATAATCAAGAACTCTAATAACAACAGATGCTGGAG